ATCACTTTATAAGACAAATGAATAATTGGATGCCACAACACATACCTTAGTTAGAAGGTAAGTTGCCCAAGAAGCAAAAGCAGAAAATATAGGTGCTGTGAATACACACACAGTCTCCACAGACAGCGGAATATTCAAAGAATTCAGTATCCTGGCATCAGAAGTAATCTACTCAATATATTAGCCAAAACAGAGTTTCCACTGATACCAAACATATGAAATGTCATAAGTGAAGGAAGCCACAAGACAAGCAAGCTCATGGAAAATACCAGAAGATAGAAACCTAAAATATTAACGAAAGATGAAAAATTGGCTACTGCAAATCTACAACTCTCAAATACTTACCACCATATGGTGCCTGCTGTCAAAGTCAAACCAGGGTAAACAGTTCCACCAATCACACGGCCAAGAGGATACCTTATGCAGTGTTAAACAAAGAAAAAAAGCAAGATTAAGACTTGTAAGGCAGAGAAAGAACAGAAAACAATAACTGCAATGAGAATTTAAGAGCCAGCTAAAGGACAGTGTAGCAATTACCAGGTCCGATCATCAAACCAGTTCCAAAAACCATATATTCCATTCTTTGTCAGAAACTGAAACCAAGCAAAAACAGAAAATCATCTGTATTTTAGAGATACTTCAACAGAATAAAATGAATTAGAATCATGATGCAATTAAATATGAATCTCTATTCTCAGCATAGCAACAAAGACTTAAAATGTACAAGTAAATAGAATAGAAAGAAGTCAAACCTGAGTGACTCTATAGTTGAAGTAAGGATCAAACTCGTGAATAACACTTTCATACTTTATAACCTGAAAATTAATCCACAAGAACCCAAAGTAATAAACTGCATAAGAAATAAATGCATTTCGAACTGATATATTAACTTTTTTCAAAAAGAAAGGTTTTACAGAAATTCATAAAACTGCTATTCTCTCTCTCGTCTCTTTTCTGATGGATTATTAGCTGCATTGCTTTCATTATTGGAGCAAAATAACAAAAGAAAAACTATCCGCTTCAAATATTTTAATAAGTGAGGGAGAGGAAAGAGAGAAAAAAATTTAACAAGCTCAGTCGAGGTTCTTAAACTGCATTACTTGTTTCATCCAGCTTTAAGTTCGACAATTTGGCTCAGTCAAGCTTAAAATATATTTACTGAAAAAAAAAAAAAGGTTTCCAAAGCATATTTTCCATTTTCTTATCGTCCGCTACCTCATCATCCATGCAGAAATCATATAACACACAGATGCATCGATCATCCAGATAATTAGGAAATCAAATTTTC